GAGGCGGGCTCTGACTGAAAGGCAAGTTTATCCACTCTGTCCCTGTGCACCTACTTACAATACACGTCCATACTCTCAGTAGCCTGCTGAAAAGTTGGAAAGTCCAACTGGGAGGCAAGAGAGGAAAATACGGCAACTTCGTGCCAGAGTGACGGTAAAGTACCTGAAAGCATTAAATCCAACAAGATCAAGGTTCACAGGTGAACTTTGTGACGCTTTGTCTCAAACACACGTTTATCATGATTTAACCAGTTAAAGCCTGAAATATGAAAAAATTGCCAGTAAATTGTATTTTTTTAACCACATTGAGCTATCTGACAAATTTGTTTAAATAAAAACAGTTCATATCTATAAAGAATTATTTCTATTTTTTTAATAGCTTATAAATATATAGTGCATTTTTTGATGAAATGACGAAGAAGTCTCAAAAAACTCCCCAAATAGCCTACTCTATGTATCAAATATGATACTGTAGGTGTAACTGTGTCGAGGCTGATTCATGCTGTGCTTTCAATAAGATCACCAAACTTGGTTACTGTGTTTTTTCCATGGATGACACTAAGAAAAGCACAGGTCTGCTTAAGACAATGAGTAAACACATGGCAGGGAACCTGCACATACAATAGCAGGACTTTCCCAAAGTGGAATCAGACAATCAGACCTTTTATCTTTTTTTTTCTTTCTTTTTTTTTTTTTTTGGCTTTCCTCCTAAAACATGACTGCGATGTGAAAAAAGGGACTGTAGGAGCCATTTTTTGAGTTGTTACCTTATGTGTGCCGCTAGGGGTCACCTTTATTGCTTTACGGTATGATGTGTTTATGTGAATGTGAAGGTAGACACACGTAATCAGCACCAGGTGTTGTTGTTCGGGAGGCACAATCACTTTGTGACCGGTTGGATAAAGAGAACTGTGGAATGATAAATACAACTGAAGGAAGAAGAATAAATATGTTAAATGGACAAGATACGTACGGCTGGAGTTATAGGACTGTAACAGATTTCATTCATAACAGTGGCATCGCATCACCCCCGTCAACCAACACCTCAGTGGCTTAAAGTGTAGGCTTAGCCTCTGCAGGGACTATCCACAACACATGGTTGTAGGATATTTGGAGTGAGTCATTTTTATTTCATAACAGAATATTTAAAGTTTGGGGATTTGCATTACTTTATTCAACATGATAAATAATGAAACTATTATTAATGACTACTTTATTTCTGAGAACTAGTGCTTCATGTTGAGGCTTAACGCAATTTGATTAATTTACAAAAGGCAGAATTTCGTGAAACTTATTGCGGAGCATGAGCCAAGAAAAAAACGGTTAAAATGTTTCCCATTAATCTGAGCTCAGCATTATTGGAGGATACACTAAAGTAGTGCCTTTCTACAATGGCCTTCTCTTTATTTCTCTATCTGGCCTGAAATAAATAGATAAATGAACTTGTATCTTGGTGCTGTAATGATTCATAAAATTAGTCATCTACTTTAAGCCTAACGAAAGGTGATGCTACGTGTCACTGATATTGCCAAAGTCTAATGTGGCTTTTCCTTTTACTCAGTGTAAAAGGGTAATCTGCACCGTCTCATAAACCCTGTTCGTTTGCATTCATGAAGGCATCTTTCGGCTGCTGACAACAGGGCTGACCTATGAACTGGAAGTTCAGTGGCTGAATCCCTGGCTTCTCTAGTCTGTATGTTGAAGCATGCTTGGCAAGATACTGAACCCTGAGTTGCATACAGAGTGTTAGTGAGTTTTCAAATGTTAGACAAAGTGCTCAGGCATAGATAAAAGCACTGCATAAATAACTAGGTGAATGAGATTTACAGTAAAAAGTGCACTCAGTGCTCAACTTGAGTGGAAGGGTGCTATGTAAGTACCAGTCTATTTACCAACGATACACCTACCTCCTTGTGAGTTCTCTTACTTTGGCTAGAAATTATGAAGTTTTTTGTTGTTTTTTTTGCCTGTCCTGTTTGGCTCTTTTGCCATCAGAATTATTGTCTAAAGGTGAAGAAAGATGCCCAACGGATTTACTTTACCAAATGGACCAACCCAGCCTTGCCGTAATGGTCTATTTGATTCACCTTTTATTCTTTATTTTATTTTATTTTCACTTGCTAAATACGGGACAGACTTGACTGGGGAAAAGAAAGGGGAGAAAGAAAGAGGGAAAGAAAAACAGCGGGGAAGAGGGACGGGGATAAAGGGCAAAAAACAAAAACCAACAAAATAAGCAGACAAAAAATACATAAATCAATCACCTGGATCACCTGTTGAGAAAGAAAAAAAGAGCAACATAATAAACAACATCATGATGATCTATGTGAATATAACAGTAAATACGAAATATTAAACATCATTGTGCAGCACGTAAGATCGACAGCACACAGTGTGCTTTGAGGTAGGAGCCAAAAAGGGTGTAGTTTGTGTGTGTGAGCACCCGTGTGTACACCTGTGAGCATGAGCGCGCTTGTATTTAAAGGTTCCTTCATGTAATGATCTGTTAGAGGGTGTGGGGAGCCACAGCCCCGTCCTCCAGGGCATGAAGCAGGTATGGAGGAGATCAAGACTCCAGACATCCAGAGGCCCCCAGAACACAAGAGACCAAGGAAGACCAACAGAGGGGCAGCCGCGCCACTGTCCCAGAAAGAGCTGAGGAGAGTCCCAGATGAGGGCTCACTCAGCAGCCGCGGAGCAGAAGCCAGGGGGGTTGCAGTGACGTGCCCGTGAGCTCCGCCGGCAGCCAGCTGTGCCAGAGTGACCGAGCCCCAGGCTGAGAGGCCGAGGGCACCCCACCCCCGAAGTGGCCCGAGCAAGCCCCAGGCTCCAGGCCCCAACAAGCAGCCACCAGGAGTGAGCCGGTCCACCCCTGGACACAAAGAACCACCAATGCACCGATGTCTGAGGGAAGTGGTGGGGGGAGATAGGCCTCCATACCTTGGAGGGCCTGAGATCCCCAGAGAGGTGGCGTCTGATACCCAACCTGACATATAGACACAGACAAACAGGCACACACAGATACAAACATCCATTCCCACCCTCATGCTCTCATATGCACTTACTCCACACTCAACCAACGTGGAGACAGACATAAAGAGACGCTGTACACACGATCACACTCCCCAAGCGTACTCTAAGCCCCAGGTCTAGGTACCCTTGCCCCTGGAGGGGGAAACTGCACCCAGACCCAGGTGGTGTTACCCTTTTCCCTGCGGTGGGGAGAAGCAGACCGCCCCGACTCGGCAGCAGCAGGGAGGCCCCACATTCCAGACCCCAATCGGACGGCCAACTCCTCCTAGCCCCCCCGCTCCAGCAGGTCGCAGAGAGGGGTGTGTGAAGACTCCAAACCTCCCTCCACCCGCTCATATGTAGTGTTGATGCATGTGTGTTCTAAGGTGCATTTAAAACCCAGGAGGGCATGGAGCTACCTGCCAGAGAGCAGCAGGTAAGCGCATAGCCCCTCCTGATAGCCCTCAATGTCTACATGTATTTAAAATTGAGAGGTGGGCAACGACACCAGGGGTGAGGTGTACACCCTGATGGTCTTTTGGATTCCGTGTAGCGTGCAAGGTCCAAGGTCCTATATGTATGTGTTATGAGAGTGTGAGTAATGTGAATGTCTAAGTTGTGAGATAAAATTGAGGCACAGGCAGCCGGAAGGGGACAGAGGGGGGATGCCTCCCCTGCACACACCTTTACCCCAAGGCCCTGCATGTATGGGTGATTGTGGTGGAGCGGGAAGAGGGAGGCAGCTGGAGATGGGGAGGAAAGGAAGGGAGGGGCAAGTGACCCCTCCCTGGGGCCGGCTCTCTCTGAATCCCATATTGCACGCCCAACAAAGGAAATCAGCTCTTGATATTTCATCTGTTTAATTTGTCATGAAATAGCAAGGGAACAGGCCTCCACGATTATGAAGCTGTATATGTTATCTCATTATACAATAATATTATATTTGAATAAATATATTATTGTGACTGTGGCTGGGATGAGGCCTGGCTGCTCTTGTCTGCACGCCAAAGTATCCTTCGGCATATTAATGTTAGATAGAAAGCACTTACTTGCATGAATGGATGAATGACATGTATAAAGTGCTTTGAATGCTCATCTAGTATAGAAAAGCTCTATATTATTAAATATACTATCAGCCAATTGGCTAAATCCTTTTAACCCTCTGAAAATGGGGAAACAGTGTAAAAATGGCTTTAATTCCTAAACAGATCATATCAAGCCCCTTAAATATAGCTGGAAGTCTGCACCCCAGTCACATCTTCACTGTTTGCTTTCAAATCTAAAGTGGTGGTTGAAATTTTGCCTGGTGATAATTAATAAATAAATAAATAAATAAATACAACTGTCAACTTCTACCTCAGCATAATATACAATGGACACCTAACTCTACATGTATGTCTTTTATTAAGGTCACGCAGCCATGATTGGCCTAATGATGCTGTGACTTATTTATTATTAATGTTAAAACAGGTAAACAAAAAAGTAAAATTAGTGGAAATCAGCTGTGAATCATTCACATTTTTAAATGTGGAGATTTTTACTGGGAAATCTTTCAAATCTTTCCTTAGCTACAGTCCTTGGGCTCATTATTTTGACTTGATGATGTTTTAGGTGAAATGTAGGATAACGGTTTTTAATTCATGTTCGATGTGGGGTTGAATTGACTGCATGTAGAACAGACCACTAAGGATTTGGTGCCCAGCAGCCACCTCACTTTTAATCTATCCTTGTGTCACATACAACTGCCACATTACTTTGAGTGTCCTCCAAAAATATTGGTTCTTTGCCACACTCTATATCCCTGCATACAAGACTAAAAATATGGACCTAATGCTGTAGGCTCCAGCCAGATGGATGTATCACAGAGGAGGATTTTAGGACTTAGACTGCTCCAGATGAGCTCTTCAAGCAGCCAAGAAGACAAACACTTGAATGGCAAACCATCAGTGTACCGGAGCTGATTTGCAAACACAGACAAAGACTGAAAACCTAAAATGAACAGATTGTTTATTTATCCAATCGCATTTAAAAAGACTGCATTCACATATTACAGTCATAGTGAAATATACCAATAAATAAAATGGTACACATTAGCCTGTGAAGAAGGTTCTGTGAACAATAGTGCTACGGATACACTCTCATGAGCTTTTTCTTCATGCCTGCGAATAGACCATCTCTAAAGCGTCAGAGATGATTTAACATTTAAAAGTTCTCCCTTTAGCAGTTTCAACACTGACCGTGATGTGAGTAAAAAGACAGAAAAATAACCACAGTGGGAGATTACCCAACCATGCAATATGTACACTATGCCTTTAGATAAATAAAAGGGGAAGTTGTAAAGCCTTTTGAGCAAAGCAAGAAATATACTTAAAAATCCAATCAAACAGTCTTTGAACTGAAGAAACGTGCTATTCAAGCGTACAACTGACACAAGAAATAAATGTGAATATCACTTTGAAATGTTTAGAATTAGAAAACAAAAAACAAAAAGTATGCTGTGCTCAAAAAAAGTGGCTTAAAAGGGTCAATGCAGACAATGTACGGTGGCCCTGAGAGGTCAAAGGAACTGCAAACTAAAGAAATACCAGCAAATAGAAAAATGTTGAAAAAGCACACAAAGGACAACAGAACTTGAATAAAACACAACAGTAGTAGAAAAACACACAAAACCCAAAAGTGTTATTGGTGAGGTATGTCACCAAACACCTGAAGAAATGGCAACAATCTAGTGCTAAATGGCTAATAGCAAACATCTGTCTGCAGTATTACATGAATCATATGAAAACACTGCATGTTTTTCTCCCTCGCAACGTGGATGAGTCGTGTGCTCCTTTTAAGCCTACAATGTTTCGCAGCTGGTCCTTCGAATAAACGCCTCCCCCAAAAACACCTGATTTTTTGCTCTGATTTAACTTCGACTGTGTTTTATTCGGCTTCTGTGTTTTGCTTTGTTTTTTCATTTCCAATGTGTTTTGTGTGCATTTGGAGAAATTTTCGGTTTGTTGGTGTTTTTAAGTCGCAGCGCAGTTCTGAGGTTGCAGCGTTTGACCTCTCTGGGACACCGTACAAACGTGAGGCGCATCGAGTGAATTGAAATTTGAAAACTGGAGCAAGTACGACACAACCACCGCTACAAAATATACAATGTGCAAGTAACAGTGGTAAACAAGGTCAGTGTGTCATTAGTGTTGATTACGACTAGTTCCCTTTAAGTCAAGACACAACCTAAGCATTCAGATGCTTCGAACACTTTTTAGCTTGAAAAACAAACCATGACAAACTTGGATTAGTGATGTGAGGTGCTGCATTGCAGTTAGTCTGCATTCACTTCCACAGATTTCCTGAAGCAGAGACTCAGTACATTACAAGTCCTCTGAGGCTCTTGAGGACACTGAAGAGTGTAACTAGAAAATTTGAAATACATAAGTAGTGGAGCCATTTGACGACAAGCCGCGTTACTTCTCCGTTTCCTGTTTTTGGATTTAAGAGTTCAACAGCAGCGTGAAGCAAACAGAACCACAGAGGAGCTCTCCCGGCTGCCAGGTGTACAAAGCCGATTGAGTTACAGCAAAAAGAAGAAGAACAAGACCGCCACACTTTTAGACCAAGTTGTAGGCATCCAGGTGGCCCTGCAAGATGTGGTCCTTCACCACGCAGAAGACAAACCGGACGTTGTCTGTGTCTGTGGCGCACGTGAAATGGGAGTAGATGATTTTTTTCTCATCTGGGTTAAGACTGACAAACATGTCTAATATGAATGCTTTCCCCGCGTCGACGTCCTGTGGAGGACCTAGAAGAAGAAAACAGCACAGGAATATTTCAGTAGTTGTGTAAAAGTGAAAAATTGTAAGTTAGATTCATGCATTTCCATGAAGAAATAGAAATCTGAATTCACAGGCAAAGCATATCATTTTTATCAGCGGAAAACAAACTGGTACACTCGTGTTTGGTCTGGTATAACCAGTAGCATTTAGTAGCTAATGCCAGCGAACTGTAAAAAGGAGTGAGTGTGTTGTTGGTGATTGTAAGAGAAAGACTTTGTTATTTGACACAGTGAATCAGCAAAAACGAATGGACCAAGATGCTCATATTATCATGTTCTATTCAAATGTTCTTTGCAGCGAGTGCGCTAGTTCCCCTCACCGTCGTACTCAGGGAAGTAGTCAACCAAATGTGAATACATGATTTTTTCCTCGAGTAAATCTATCTTGTTGAGGAACAAGATGATCGAGGATTCTTCGAACCACTTGTAGCTTATGATTGTCTTGAACAAGGCCATGCTTTCTTCCATTCGGTTCTGTGAAAAAAAACAAACATATAAATAAATAAAGAATGAAAGGGAGCAAACACAACAGACGTGAATCCCTGCTGAAGAACAGCAGTACTTCACCAGTGATTGCCTGTGTGAGCAAATTCAATTGGCTGTAATCTCATCAAGTGAACAGGCCTCACTAAAAGGTGCCCTTTGTTGGGCTAAAGTGACTTTAGAGCTCCCCCTGCAGTTGAACTATGAGCACTGCCACAAAGGAGGGCTGAGATGAGGTTAATCAATGTGGCCAGAAAGTGAGAGAGAGAGAAACAGAGAGACAAAGAGAGAGAGAGAGAGGAGCTGGACTCTGCAGAAATCTAGGTCATCATTTCCACCTAACAGGTTTGGCCTTAAACAAAGGAAACAAAGTCCCTTTGTGTCCTATCCAGTGAGTTGGGTGTGTTTTTTTATCCCAAAGCAAGCTACTGTCTTTTCCCATGTAAGAAACATGTACACACACACACACACACACACATATATATATATATATATGTATATATTAGATTATTATTTTTAAGTCTGATTTTTACCTCATTGGAAGACTCAGCGAGGACCTGATCGTACTCACTAAGTGCCACCAGGAACATGATGGAAGTGACATTTTCAAAACAGTGGATCCATTTCCTCCTCTCTGAACGCTGACCACCCACATCCACCATCCTACAGTCACAGGTTTAAACCAGTGAAAAATATTAAGGTAACATAAATGATACAAATGATGTTTCTTAAAAATGATAACAGGACCGGAGACAGCAATGTAAAGTACATGAACTGTTATATTAAAGAGGTAAAACCAGTCAAACTGGGGGAACCAGTCAAACAGCAGCTAATATAATCAGTGGCCAGCTGTCACAGCGACATAGTCTAAAATTGGTCAGTTCAAACAGGATGTTTCTTTCTAATTCTAATGTGAACTCTAATGTGCGTTACATTTTAATGGGCTTCCTGAAAATTAACATCTCAGTGTCCAGTTACCTAACACACAGTAGGTGGCTTTGAGAGATCATTTTAAAGTTGGTCGGGCACAAAGTTTGACTAAACGTCACTATTTTTAGCGTTAAAATGATATTTAGTTTTCTAATTAACAAACATTTTGTTTGCTATATAACTATGAAATCAATTTAACACACTCTTCATGCAGAACTGCTCTGTGTGATCTGTCTGCTCTTGCTATACGTAGCCGCCCAGGATGGCAGACTTGATGAACAAATTATATTTAGGGACGCAATGATAACTGCAGTCCAAGGGTGAACAGGTGAAAGTGTTGCTTATAGGGCTGTTCGATATAACGATATATATCGGATGACGATATAAAAACGTTTCATTTTACGCTATCGTTTGTTTCGCAAAATAAACTGTTTACGGCAACATTTTTTCATCGTTTTGATGGTCACTGTAGTGGCTATATTCATTTCTTAAAGTTCTCTCTTTCTCTTATATTTAATATAACCACACTACCGACAGACAAGCGCCTGTTTTTATGCGTTGTGGCTAGCAACAACGACGGTAACAGCATCGCGTGCCCGCTTGTTTATGTTCCACATAAACCTTTCACAATAAAGCTCAAGATCCTGTTGAGACTTTTCAAAATAAACTGAATCACGTGAAAGAGCAGATTATTTACGGATGAGAATTAAAAAAGAGCCACCAGGTGCTAAAAAATAAACCTTAGACTCAAACGTTAGAACAGGCTTTTCCCCGCAGCACGCTGTGTAATAAATACTCACAAAGAAAACAGCGGCCTTTACAACTTATGTCTAAAAATGTATCGTTTCATGCATCGGTTAAAACACTCGACTCCAGCTACATGACGCGCAGCTGGAAACACTTCCCGCAAGACAAGCTGCCCAAGATTCACAGAATTTACAGAAAATGTTACATTTTTGTGATTTATATCGTTATCAGGACGATAGAATTCTTATATCGGGATATGAGATTTTGGTCATATCGCACAGTCCTAGTTGCTTATGTGCTTATGTTACCTGATAACACTAGGTGTCATCAGGGACAATGTCATTGTTTTTGCAGGTATCTGGTTACCAGAGAGGTTACAAGTAAAAAGAAAAAAAAAACAGGATGGCCATTCGCTAGCAATGAATGCACCATAATGATGTATACACACAATAGACATTGTACTCAGGAGGTAGAAGGGTAGAAGATTTTAAAACAGGTTACTGGATCTTTATATATATAAGATATAAATGTATCGATCCCTGTAATACCTCGAATTATGTTATCTGCTTTTAAGGAATGTTGCATTATTTTAATAGCATTTGTGGGGGACACCAACAAAAGAAAGAAAGAAAAAAACCACTCACCTGAACACCACGCCCTCCAGGTCAAAAGGGTACTCTATGATACCGGTTGTGGGCACCCTCACCCTCAGCACATCTTGCTGAGTTGGCAGATACCCAGTATCGGAGATTCGATCCAAGTCATCCAGATAGCTAATAGCACAGGAGGAGGATAATGCAGTGTTAAGAAATGAAAATGAAAGCTGCTGACAGAAAGACTGATGAAGAAGCAGAACAGAGAGGGAGAGAAGGAAGACATTTATTTTGAATTATTTAAGTCATGGCTGTATCTGTTTCAGCCATGTAGCTGCAATGAATTATTTAGAATTTAAATGCGTTTCTTTTTAACAACCTTAAATGGAAAAACTACTAAGCCTCTGTGTCCTTGGTGCATTAAAAAGACGGCTGGCAGATGAAACACAGGAAATTATTAGACAGTGTGTGAGGAGTTATTCTTCTGTTTACACTCACTATTTGGCTGAGTCTGAGAGCTGGTATTCCCGCTTCCGATTGTAACATTCCTGAATTCCCGGGTCGCTCCACAAGCTCTTCAAGGCATCAATGTATGGGTTGGTTAATGTTACCACCTTTTCCACATCAGCCTTATTGACAGTTGTGGCGTTGGCCTGAGCATCACAATAACACATTAATATTAGCGACAACTTCAGAAAGAATAATTACTTTAATATTGTGTTATTTATAGGAAGCATCTCTTGCGCAACTGTCACCGCAGCATTATAGGTGACGAATCAGTCCCAGTGCTGGAAGGAAGGAGTGATGTCATCCGGTTTACCAAGATAACAAATACCAAACAAGATGGAATTAAGATTCTGATTCATACTACCAATCATTTACTGAAACTAACTGTTCAACATATAAGCACATCATTTCGATACAGTGGGGGAAATAATTGTTCCAAAGAAATGAAAAGTTTATATTTTTATGATAATTTCATTTTAATAGAGGCAGAATATCAACCAAACCACATTACGTAAAAGCTATAAGTAGATTTTCTTGTCATTGAGTGAAATAAGTATTTGATCCCCTACAACGCAGCAGGAACGGCTGTGTGCCACGTACGGTCAATCAATCAACTACGGATCGTCCTTTTTGAACTCCTTATGTGTATGAAGCGCAACTTTCCAGAGAATCAGTTCCCTCCATTTTACCACTTTGGGCAGTATCAAAGAGCCAAGAATAAAAATAAGAAACCTAACGGATTTCGAGAGTTTCGGCAAAGAGGAGCGGGCCAAACTCCCCCCTGAGGTGTGTACATGCCTGGTGATGTGAGCAAACTTTCAAATTCAGCAGGCAATCAAATATTTATTTCCCCCACCGTAAAAGAGAACTTTTTGATAGTCTCCAGCAGACATGATGAAATTAAGCCCTGTTTAAACTACTGTCACAGGGGGTCTTTAAAAACCAATAAGTAATCTCTGAGCTTCCAAACATAAAACAATAAATCTGATTTGAAGGTATCTGTGTAGTGGTTTGTCTTGAGTATGCTATCAACAGCTGTTGTTTATAAATCGTCATTCTCAACCTAGCAGTCAAGCGTGTTAACCCCATCTGCAGGAATTTAGTGCATTGGTTTGCATGGCATTATTGTGGGAGAGAAGCAGTACCAGTATGTTATACGGCAGCCATCAGTGAAAACGGAAATGACACTGAAGAAATCAGACACAACATGAAAGGAGCTGGGGTAGATATGGGTTGCAAAGCAGCTTGCAGAGGCAGTACTAGCCGTGGGAAGGCTAAAGCATTTGCATGCCCCCATATCAGATTTTTTCAACAGGAAGCACAGAAGGGCAGCAGTTCAGCAATCTGAAGCAATAGTAAACATGAGAATCAAAACCCATCATTAATGAAATTCCAGTGTTATGAAATATATGAATCGAACCGGCTGATTACACTGCAACGCTCCAATAAAGGTAACACTCAAGTACAGATATCTGTTTGTTGAGTCATATATTTTTCATAATGCAGAAGTCTTTGGAAGGGATTTTCCACTTTGTTTGATTTTTTGTTTTTGTTTTTTCATGCTAACTAAAATGCTCCTGCTTCAAAATATACTCCCATTCTTTGATGGTCCTGTTTTTCTTTTTCTATTTTACATTTTCTTCCCCCTGCAGTCACTGACCACCTAATAGAAATCAAAAAATCTTAGCATTTTACTAAAAGATTGTTCCAGCTTTTAATTCCACACCACTAATACAATGTAACTTACTCGCCTCCATCACTCAACAGCTGCCACTGTTTTATGTGCCGCGCCTCAAATAATCACGTCACTTCCAGTGTCTACTTCATTTTTTATAGAGCTACTCAGAGGCAGATTTCTTATTTAAGACTCAAAAACACAATCATAGAAATACCACTGAGTATTCTTCTTACAGTATATTCCAGTATAGAGCTAGCTAGCCGCAGTTATGAAAGTATCATTAAGGCAGTCACATGAGTCTAGAGAGAGGTTGGCAACTGCCTTGTGTCCACCTTACTGGTTGCCAGCAAAACATCTTTGTGGTTTGTGTCTCACTTTTTCAAGTTTCGCTACAGTTCAGTGTTTAATTAGCAAGTGTTTGCAGACAGGTCAGTGTCATCCATAACAGCCACAAGCAAGCATTACACCGTGCTAGTGACCACAGTAATCACAAGGAGGTGTGACTTTTTGTGTAAACCTCTTACATAAAAAGTTAGCTAAAACTATCACTTTTGACTTTATATGAGAAAATGCTTTCAGAATAAAAGTCTAACCTGTGTGTTTAGTGAAGCAAACAGTAGGAGCAAGCTTCACTAAGTTAAGATGTTCTCCTTCAGGTCAAAGCAAGCAAAAAGCTAGTTACCCCAGCAGGCTTTTTTGTGAGCATATAAATTTAATCCAACTCGTTCAATTGTTCTTTTGGTTTTGTTTTTGCTTTGTTTTCTTTTTGTTTCAGAGAGGTTATACGAGGACTCAAATCTTTGGATGGGCCTTCTGTGCATTACTATAGATTCTAAGCTACGATTTCACCATTCAGGGAAGAGGTTTAGTGAACTGATATACTGAGTGCCTGATATCACCGCTCGCTAAATTATTCAAACAGACAGTCAATAGTTTATTCAATAATGAGCGATAAATTTGGTTTCCAGACAGGAGTCTAATGCACTTTTTTGTGATCAGCATAGTTTGTGAACAGTGTAGTTGATTTGATGAATAAACGCACTTATTTCAGACACAGCGACGGATGTCTTGACCTCACTGACCTACGGTCTCTCTGTGTTTCACTGCTGATTTATGCAAACCGACTGCATACAAACAGTGCCATCCTGTGAGCTTTTACAGAACACCACCAACACTACAGGAAAGAAAAAATATAACGCACATGCTGACTCAGATGATCACTGACATAGGCTCTCCTGGATTGCATCCTAACCTGGAGCTTTACCTAATGTAGTCTCTGTGTGTGAGCTAGCACGTTTTTGTGATTAATATGCACCTGGTGTTTGTAAGACAGGAACAGATTCCTGTATGAATAATGGGGAATTCCTGATCTCTTACTTGTTTTTGGCTCAGGACTACCAGTTTTTACATGCTTGCAGTGTGACACTCTGTATACTTCAAAACGACAGCTCACTCCGTAAGTAGACAAAACTCTCTGGCAGCAGGATTGCAAAACTAAACACTGTTGCAAATTACCAGAAGTGCTTCACCCTAAATACACAGTAATACACACTGCAGGCTCTGTCAGTAAACCTTCCGCATGCTTCTGTGGGACTGTGTCTGATAAAAACCGCTTTCTCAATTTGTCTGAGCAAAGCAGCGAAGAAAGGACACAGGCCTACCTTGTTGTGCTCATACTTGTAGGGGATCTGCAGTACGTTCATGGCCTGGATCATGGCCTGCATGGCTGTGAAGATGTTCTGGTACACCAGCTGTTTGAAGCCTCTCTTGTCTTCATCAGAGTATCCACGGCCATGGATGATCCTCATTTGTTTAATGAACGTGCTCTTGCCACTTTCACCAGTTCCTATCCAACAGGAGGCATAAATGTAGTTTTATTCTTTATTCCCATCAAAATACCAACAATACAATGCACCTGTCCTCCCCTCTATACCTTATCACATCCAGATACTGTGTAAATCCAAAGGTCATTTTCATCCCCTCAAGTGATTCTTGATCCAATAAGAACACATGGAAAATCAGATTTTAAAAATATATATATATGAAATATTTATTACAGAAAAAACCTATTACAGACATGTTTTGTTTTGTTTTGTCTTGGTTGTTTTTACAAAATGATTTTTTTTATAATTACAGGACGATCAATAAGCTACCTGAGCCCTTCCTGTAATTTTACTTTTACTTTTTTTATTTCTTACAATTTAAGCACAAAGAGACACAATTATGTTATTTACCACAACAGCAGGTAGAAAAAACTTAAAGTCTGAGAACTTGTTTTTTTTATAGTGGTAGAAGAAGCATCTAGATTATTTACTTAAATAAAAACTTCTTTAAACATATATAAGGAAAATTCTTTTAATTAAAGTCCAACTAAACTAAAAGTGCCTCAACTATAACTATTCATTATAGAGAATTCATTTTTTCAGTATATTATAGGATCAAGGTGATTATAGTTAACTAAAACTGAAAACTAAAGCAGATTTGAAGAAAACATTTTAGTTACCTAAAAAAAGTGAAAATGAAAACTAAACTTGTGCAAAAATGTAAACGATATAAAATAAGATTTTGTAAAAAGTATAGTATCTGTTAGTTTGTTAAAAAGGTGTTATTTCAGCTTGGCTGATGAGGCATTGATGGACATGCTTATTGAGACTCCACAGGATTGTGAGTCAACTGCTTTCAAAATATTCTGTGTTTTTATTGTAACACCGGTATAAATTTTCCTAAATCGTGCCTCCGACATATGCCTTCCATACAATAATAATTAAAAAGCCTAAATCTGACACTGAAACTAACAAAAACTAAACTGAAACTAAACCGTTTGAAACAGTAGAAAGTAAGTGAAACTAAACTGGATTAAAAACAAAAAGTCAAAATGAATTGAAATAAAAAAACGAATTAGAAATCACAAAAATAAAATAACTCTGAAAGGAAATAATTTTAAAAAGTATTCAGTCATTAATGAGTACATCACTTGTAATTATAATTTAAGCACTGACCTTTGGCTTAATAAAAAATAACAAGGTATAAAGTTTTGATTGATTGATTGATTTAAGGCTATAAAACATATACATATATATATATATATATATATATATATATATATGTGTATATATATATTTATATAACTATATATTAGTAATATGTTAATGAGATATAATATATTACATTAAAATAACATCTGTCACAAAAAAATAATGACAGAAATATTTAACTAATACAGGTACGTCAGAACTTGTTTTACGTTTTCCTGCTGACCCTGTTGACACATCCATCCATTTCAGTTATATTGTTTCTGTAAAACGTTCACATATTCTATATATATTCGTGCAGTGTGTAAGCGATCAGCTAGTTTTAACTGTAAACCTCCCACTCTTTCTGTCTGTTGACATTGAAATTCCTTTCTGGATCACTATGCGTCACACTGATAAGCTCTTGACTTTTTGATACCAGATGAAAATTTCAACACTTTCAGTGTTTTCTTTAAGGTCCTAACAACAGGTGTTCATTCCCCAGTATTCTGAGTTTAGTTTAAGTTAGTAAATGTTAGCATGTTAACGCAGTCAGCATAATAATCATTACATCACCAAATGGACTGCAAACTTTATAGCTGTGAGCATCAAAACATGCTGATGTTAGCATTTAGCTTAAGGAGCAACTAAGCCTGAGGTCTCACCAGCAGCACGGATGCAGACTCTCCTGTTTAGCAACACTGGATGGGGTTTTATAGCTCAGAGGAATAAACTATGTCAGGTTATCACTAAACAGATGGTATACAGAGCGATTGATTTTATTGCTTCATTTATTTATTTAATAATAATAATAATAATGGATTGCTTTTATATAGCGCTTTTCGAGACCCTCAAAGCACTTTACAATTCCACTATTCATTCACACACTGGTGGAGGGAAGCTACAGTTGTAGCCACAGCTGCCCTTGGTGCAGACTGACAGAAGCGAGGCTGCCATATCGCGCCACTCGGCACCTCTGGCCATCACCAGTAGGCGGTAGGTGAAGTGTCTTGCCCAAGGACACAACGACCAGGAACAGACAGAGCTGGGGATCGACCCGGCAACCTTCCGGTTACAAGATGAGCTTCCCAACCCCCTGAACCACGGTCGCCCCGAATGTAGTTATGATCATAATATATTATCCAGATGTCCTCTTATGTAAACTTGGACATAACTTGCATCAAATGTTACGTTTTGTCATCTCATGGGTGGCTGGTAGATTTATTAGAAGTTGCGGCATTTCCCCGTGTAGCTGACAATGCAGAAATGACACCGGTGAGACAACCCTGTGCACAAATGAAAGCAACAGTATTTCTTTTAGAATGTTATTAGAGAGTACTTAAAGCGATGTGCACTGTTCCAATCTCAGACTGAAACTGGTTGTGGGCTAAAATACAGAGTGCTGTCTACTGAAGCTAAAAGGCTGGTGACACGTTCAACATGACTACCCATGCTTGACTGCTTTAGACCTTCAACTTAATCACTGATGACACATCCTTTGCCAAATAGTCAAATTAAATGTGGCACCTTATTAAGTACACCTGTTCAACTACTTATTTATGCAAACATCTGATCCGCCAATCACGTTGCAAGAACAGCATTTAGAACATAGTCAAGACAAAATGGTGAAGTTTAAACTGAGCAGCCGACTGGGGAAGAAGGGTGATTGAAGTGACTTTGAATGTTGCGTGGTTGTTGGTGACAAATGGGCTAAGTATTTGAGAAACTGTTGATCTGCTGGGATTTTCCCACACTGCCATCTCAAGGGTTTACAGAGGATATTTTCCCAAACAAGAGAAAATATCCAGTCTGCGGCAGTCCTCTGGAAAAAAAAAAGTATTGATGATGTCAGAGGCCAGAGAAAAATGGCCACACTGCTTCGAGCTGTTACAAAGACCACACCCAGAACCGCTGCGGTCAGCTAAGAACCGGCAACCGAGGATATCACATCCACGAACTTACCAAAATTAGACAGAAAATCAGAAAAATGTTTTCTAGCTTTACGAGTCTCAATTCCTGCCGCAACATTCGGATGGTAGGGTCAGAATTTGATGGACACAACATGAAGCCATATTGTTGCTGACCATGTCCATCCTTTCATGATGCTTGCTTCCAGCACAGTAACACACTGTGTCACAAAGCTCTGGTTTCCTGAACATGACGCGTCACAGTCACCAGATGTCAATCCAGCATGGCCCTTTGGGATATGGTGAAACAGAGGATTTGCATTTAGGACGTGCAGCCAACAAATCTTCAGCAGCTGTGCGATGCTGACACGTCAATACGGACCAAAATCTCTGCTGTTAAATGTTAAGTTTTTCCAGCACCTCAATGAATCTGTGACACTACGAATTAAAGCAGCTCTGAAAGTAGAAAGGAGCAAGGAGGAACTAATGAAGCACCCGGTGCCCTGTAGTATACAGATGAGGACTGCAACTAATATTTCTTTTCTGTACAGATTAAATGACAGCAGTGTGTGGAGCCCATGCCATACTGGATTTTATGGGGCCAATTCTAAAGGAAGTTGAAACAAAATGTATACCATCAACTAAAGTGAGATAGATGAGGGAGGACTCATCACACTTCCAAGTATAACTGTTAGCAATTATGTTACTAATACATGTAGATTTGTCACATCTTTATACCTCATAAAGTCTCCAAATCATGCAGAGATTATAAATGCAAACTAGGGTCAGGAAGCTACAGTCTAACATGCTCGTGGCTAACCACAAAAATGCTACAAAACTAGTTGACCCAAGGCTAGTCGCATATTATTTCGTAAAAGGAAAAAAACTGACGAGTGAGTATTTGAGCTTCGTGTCATGTCATGCCTGTCTGAACCAGCAATGTATACCAGAGGACTGCTTACTGTTGTGTAGAAGAAAAATGCTGTTATCAGATACACTGCACAGATCTGTCGATGGGCAGTTCTGAAGAACTGGAGGCAGTTGGCTCTGTTAACAGTCAACTGTTTTCTCATTTTTCGCTGCTCTCCTTAAGATTAAACTGTGATGAGTTTTGTTGTAGTACCAGTTCTTTTTTTAAAATACGTCTCATGAGACGCATACAGCAACCACTGATCAATGTCACCGCAAACCACTAATGTACATAGACTTTGGTCCATGTTAAACTACTACAGTCAGGCCATATGTTGATGTCTTATCAACAAATGAAGTATATACACTTCATTTGGTACACATAATATTTCAATCCTACAAATCTGTGTAGTTAATCCCTTTTTTCCCCCCATTTGAGATACAGTAGTAGCTAAAAGTAGTTAAAACTCCCACTGTGAGTACGTTTTGCATGGTTGCCTGTACTGTAACTGCATTTTGCATTGTCTTTACACTTTAACTCACCTCACACAGCAAACTATGCACACGCCCTATGACAGGAACAGTGTTCAGTAGTAAATGATGTGCATGTAAACTTCATCCTACTCCCTTTTGAACATGTATATTGTGTGGTATATAGAATTATTCACGTCACCTCCATGTTTTTTATTTTACTTTGGGGATTTTTCTGTTTACAATGTATTTTTATATATATATATA